AGGCAGATTTCAAGGACGCGGAGCACGCAATCGCTGGGACTACTTCCATCGGATTGCGCGCGGAAATGAATGGAAGTCCCCCGAGGGACGAGTCTCGATAGTGATTTATTCAGCTACGAGGAGGTGGGAGGGAGCTGAAGAATTTAGGCGCCAAATAGCTTTCAGATGGCTACACGTATAATGTGTTGACGTTTCTTTGCCTTCCAGTTTTGTTCATTAGTAGGCGATCGGCTACCGGTTTTTGGAAACTGCAGCGAAGTATAACAAGTATATCTCTTTATATAAAACAAGCCTTGACGAGGAATTTAAAAATAGGTATTTCAGAGTAACAAACGCAATTAGTGTTGCAAAAAATATTGGAAACCAACTCCTGTTGAAATAAAAGTTATTTAAAGAACTTGTCCTAAAAGGAATTTTAGTATTTTGTATATTCACTAGCATTTATTTAGTACTGGAAAAAGCTGATCCCTGTTGAAATTGAAACTGTTCGAAATAATTTTGTCAATTATGAAATTGATAATTTGCCTTTGTGAAATAGATTTTGATAAAAAATTTAAAAATATTTTGCAATCTATGTCGCAAATCAACTCCTGCTGAAATTGATTCCACTTCTTGTTGGTTTTCTCTCTCCTTTTTTTTTTCTTTTGCATAGAAATGCCTGACTAATCGTTTGCCTATTTTCCTTTGTGTAACTCGGTAACTTAGACATGTACAACGATGACACTAGCAAAGTGTCAATCTGCCGCGTCAGTCGGCTAGACGCGTTTCGCGTTTTCAATTGGGATCGATCCAGGCAACTGGACTGACAAATATTTATCGCAGATTTACACAGTTGCAAATTTAGTCGTTCGTTATTCCTGCAAGATTTATGTGTAACAACGTGATGATTTGTTCTGACGCGTCTTTTCTATGTAAGCTGTTGGTAATAACGACGCTGTTCGTTAATTAAAGAAATGGACATGTGTCATACGTTTCGCAAAAACACACAACAGAGAGTTTCTAGTTAATAAAATCGGTGTCCAGCGATGAATGAATTTGATTGACGTACGAAATCTGTCGCGACAGAGGCGCTGTTACGAAGATTCTGTGAACGCGAGAGATCAAAGACAACGTCCCCTTTAATTGCCAGTTCGCTAAGTCGAATCTAGAAGTAGCCGATCCTTTTTAACAGAGGCAGCTACACGTTCGCAGAAATCTCTCGGGAAGCTCGAGGTATAATACATTTCGTACGTTAGTAGAGGTTACAAAGCGCGAGCCAATTGTAACGACGAAGGATACCCCGTCACATGGGGAAAAATAAATTGTTTCGCGATTCTAATATTAAATTGTTTACTCTCTAAAGTTGAATGAAATATTTGTCAGTCTACTTGGCTCGGTAGAGTACACTGTGCAAGATACCACGCTTCGAGAAACAAAATTAAATCAGTTCAACATTTCTCGAATTCTACGATGTAGAATCAACAAAATTTTGCAACGTGGCAGCTATTTTAGATGCTTGCACGTTTAAAAAACTTCCGCCGAGAAAGTGACATTTCGCATAGATTGACAAATTCTCTATCCACGCTATGATGTTGCACTTGCGACTCTCCACGCAACGTTCAAAAAACAACAACCGTAATTCCGATCGGTCAGTGTAACAAGTAGAGTTGCTTCCATTTCATTCAATTTATGAATATCAAGTTGCCGAGAAGAATATATTATCATGTGATTTAACTTAATAACGCAGAACCTCTCAAACACTCAGAAACAAAAAAAAAA